CCTCCCGCACAACCCGCCGCCGACTCGAATCCTCCACCTCCCACACAACCCACTGCTGACTTGAACCCGCCGCCTCCTGAAGACTCGACTCCCCTGCCTCCCGACCTACCCGCAGAGCCTGTTGATGGCGCCGACGCGGATTGTCCACCCAAGAAGGGCAAGCAAACAGCAGCCACCCCCTTGTGTGTGATGTTACACAGCGTGACAAAGGCCGCGGCTCAACTGGACAAACCCACGCCAGTTGACAAGGACGTACCACCCAAGTCCAAGCGCAGGAGAGCGCGAGCTCCCAAGAAGGCCCCCCAGTCGGAGGTGTTACCCACCATGGCGGACGTTGGCGAAACCATGCAATGGCCGCTGGCTGACAACGGCCTGGTTCAACTCTACGGCTCTGATTCCTCCCTTGTCGTGCGTCCGACCGAGGCCCAGTGCGTCCAAACCGCGCTTGCAGATGGCAAGAAGCTGGACATGGACGCCAAGAGACCAGTAATGCTCCCATCTCTTATTCCGCAAATATACGCTGACCGTCTCACAGCTCAGCGCCAGAAAAGTTTCTTTCAAGGTGTACTGCCCTGCCATCAACCCGAAAGCAGATCCCATCTTGCGCAAGTACATTTGGCCCATGTTCGAGGCAGCGGTATGTGCTCGCGAACTGATTGCAATTTATTTTAACTGTTTTTCCCTCGCAGACATTCAATGAGCAGACACTTAACGAAATGCTCACCACTCAGGTCCTCGACGACAAAGGCATTCCCCTCCATTGCTGGGAGAATACCCGCAATCTCGATCCCCGGACCTGCGCGGGCCTGCGCCAATTGTTTGTCCTCATTGTGATGAGGGCAGACTGGGACGCATTGGGAGACAAGCGTCAACACGAGCTCCACCACCACCGCTGCATACTCATCCTCGAAAGCGGCGGCCCACCCGAGCACCCCTTCACCCACCAGATGCTGGAGCGATTCCACGACGTCGATGGCTTGTGCGAGATCCAAGGTGAGTCAGTCTCCTTGACGCTACATCATCTCATCTCACACTAACCCTAGATCCTGGCCTTCGCACCAAAACGAACGAAGATATCACGCACATCGGCACACTGGCAGATCTCTTGGACCACAAGAGCCGCGACGGCAGGCCTTTACTCAACAGCCTCCAGAATCCAATGCCTTACAGATCCCACTGCTGCCGGGCTGGCCGTAAGATTTACCTTGTTTTATCTACGACTCGTGCCTCATTCCAATAAACAGGAGCTTCGCCAGTCACAAATGGGCAGCTACGCATACCACTTCTTTGCCAGACTGCCCACTGCCATTCATGTCCTGGGAAGACCTCTGGTGGATCATCATCGCAACGCTCAATGCCAAAAGCAGAGCACACCAGGATGTGCTGGCGACCGTCATCGCGCTCCTGTGCGGATGGAAGGTGTGGGCGATAGCTGTGCAGGGAGACACCGACGGGACAGAGATGCGAGGGGATTTCAGCTCCCGCCACGGGTTCCGAGACTGGAGCTCGCAAAACTCCAACAAGGACATATACCGACGGGAGTTCATCCTTCTCGGTCCCAACATGACCTTGTGAGTCTTCGCTTCCTTCAAATATCCCACATCTCACGAGCCTCGTTCCCAGTTATATGCAAGCCAGGACCATCCACTACATTATCTCCCTTGAGGATTGCATCGGGTGGGGTCACCACGGACACTGCCTGGCCACCCTCTCCCGCAGGCTGTGGTGCGCTCTACACAACATCATCTCGGACAGTGCCACCACCAATGCTGACCACGTGACTGCATGCACTTTACTCATGTGCTTGTTTATATTCCAGGCTTGCAAGCTCGTCGCAAACCAGCGCAGCCTGCACATCCTCGACCTCGAGCAGAAAACCCACGTTTTTGATCTCGTCAACCTAATCTCCATCATCATCCTCTTCACCGCGCTCGACTCTTCTTGTTATCAGCTGATTGAAAACGGCATGCTTCCCATGCATGCCGAGCACTTTGACGAGCTGGTCTATGCCTGGTCTTGTCTCTCCAAACTTTTCGATCACATCAACGGCGAAATGGATTTTGCAAGCGACAAGTTTGAATCATTTGAGCAGCTTGTCTAGGTACATTTGTAGTAATTTGTAGTATTTTGATGTCCTGGTCAAACAAACTCACCGTCGTTGCAGAGCGCCGTCGTTCACATGGCGTGCTCCCTTGTACGCTACCAGTGGGACTGGAGCCGGGAAGTCAAACACCACCGCACCTTCACAATTGAAGCATTCCAGCTACAGCTCAGGTGTGTTCTCACCGCCCACGAGTCCTACCGCCGCACAGGGGACCTGCTTGCATTTGATCCCAAGAAGCGCGGCAAGCTCTAGTCAAACTTCAACCGACTCCTCAAGACCACCAAGTTGTTCGATTACTTTGCCCCGTGGACCGCAGACACCATCCCCTGCACCATCGCCCCCTCGAGCCCGCCGGATCTCAACTGTCGTCGTGGGAATCGTCGGCCACGCCTGCTGGAGCTAACAAGCGGCGAAAACAGCCACAGACTTTGCGCTCTCCATCACCTCGGCCAAAGCACGCACGAGCTGCCCCTTGAGTGTCGCGGATTTGCCTTTCACCTTGCGTAATTTTATTTTTTCGAGGAACACCAGAATATTCTTCCCACTGTCTAGAATTTTGCAATAATTAAATACATCCTCCACTCTCCTAGCTGGAAATAAAATGAGTGTACCCAGATGAGATGGCTGCAAGTTTGCAGCCCATCACTTGCCTGCCAACTTTTTTTTTTTCCCTCTCACCCCCATGTCCCCATACCGGCTAGAAATATTGCGTGACATGTAGGTATATTTTTTCAGGGCCAAACACTAGCACCAGGCATCCGCTTTTGTCGCGCTCACCTAGGTGTCACCGATGTCACCTATGTCACCATATGTCACATACCATCACCTAGGTGACACTATGTGACCCCATGTGATGGTACATGATGGTACATGATGGTATGTGATGCCACATCAACCACACTTGCCACCCTGATGACCACACACATCCTCTACGTTACTTCCACTTGCGGCAAACTGGACCAGCCCAACAACGAAGCATCTGAATGGACCGGCGCCTGGGTCACAACTGTGCAAAAACAGTGCTCCTCATGGCGATCCGCTGGGCTGAGCAACCCGGGATCGAGCTCCAACTACTATCCTTCAACACTTTTGCATCTATCACACTCCTTGGGGATGGGAAAGCACTACAAGCCTACGGAGCTGCCTTTGACATTGTCTACGGCGGCTGTGAATACACCATCAACACAGTCGAAGCGGGGTGAGTCTGATTTCAACCAGTCGGTGCTCTGTAATTAATCATCACAAAGTCACCTCAAATCCTGAGCAGACGAGATGTGATTCATTGATCACATGGATGAGCTGGCTCTCTCCGTGTTTGTTTGGCCCCCTGCGTGACAGAGTTTGTTTTATCGCGAGAAGCTGCAGCTGGCCGTCCAACTAGACAGAGTCGCATGCCACGTCACCCACACTGTCCGTCCGCAAACCTTGATTCTCCGAGATCCAGCACAATTCACCGAGTCTACTGTCGTCAAATGCGGAGGTTCGTGCCAGTGTTTGCACAAGCACTTTTACAACTGTGCACCCTCTGTGCGCCAAAAGGCGAAAACATTTGAGCAGCACAACTTGGTGATCTTGCATGGACGCGAAACTGACCCCACTGATCTCAACGCGCGGCATGGGATGCTGTGGCTAGTCCAAGACCTCGTCCTGGAGCTATGCCTCTATGGCGAGTACTGCACGTACGTTGTGGGTGGGAAAATCGTCTCAGTCGTGGCCACAACCCCGGGTGGTGAGACCAAGTGGCTCATCAAGGACTGACACACTGTATATCCTCTCGAGCAATTGAGGTAAGCCAGATTTTACGCTCGTTTCGCATCTGTCGTCTCAACCCGAGGCAGAGATCAAGTCCAGGGTTACCCCGAGCCGCAGGATGTCCTCATTCGTTGTGGGGGGTCTGCAGACCAGCGCCACGAAGCGATGCAGACACTCCACAACTTTGTCCTGCGGATGCTGCACAGCTTGATCGCTTCGGCCGAGTGTATGTGGGATGCCCCATCGCTCCTGCGCGATTTTGCCTGTGTAGACATCTCCTTTATGGAAAAGGGCGACATCCAGCCGGGTTACAACTATTTTGTCAACGAGGTCAAGTTGTGCAGCAATGGGGTTTGCCTGTTTTTGGGCTACAGCGAGTCGTCCGAGATGGTCATGGACGAGCTCCTCACAGCCATCCTTTCTGGCCACACATCTTGGGTCGAGGTCAGTTGCTGCCCCAGTCTTGCGTTTATTTTCCATTTTCTGACATGATCGCATACAGGCCCGCCGCCCAGTTGTACAGGCTAAACCGCGGGCTAAAACTTCCTCAAGTCGCGGCGGCACCTCGCCCAGTGAGCCATTTTATTTTTTGATTGGCCATACTTGCCTGACCACTGCTGCAGGATCTGTCCCCTCCACCCAAAAAGGTGAGCCTCTTTTTAAAAAAGAAAAGTAATCACTCATGGTTTATTTCGTGACAGGCGAGAAAACCACCTACTTGCGCATCCTGTGGCAAAGTTGGCCACGACCGAAGGATCTGTCTGTTCAGAGGTTGATTGCACACTAGTCGTGTTATCCATCACATCCAGTTAAATACCTATTTAATAAACGACTCGTGTTGAGATCTCAGCCCTCGTGGAGCAAGGAAGCTCACCCTGTCCCACATAAAAGTGTTGTCCTTTTGTAGATGGGTGATGGTGGTTCAACTCCACCTGCGGGCCCTGCCCCTCTTCCGTAAGCCTTGTTCACTGGGCAGAGTCAGGCACAAGACATACTTATTTACGTGTACACGACACCTATAAGCCTTTGTAGAGCACGGTGGCTCACTCGTATCCACACACAAGAGAGCAGTGGCGGTTTGATTCCGCCCAAGGGCATGCCAACTTTGTAACCTTTTATTCAACAAATGCAAACATCCCAGGGAGCCTTTGTGGAGCAATGGAGCTCACCCTGTCTTTGTTACAGCATGAAATTGGTACTTTAACAGGTGGATGGTGGTTCGATCCCACCCAAAGGCATTCAGGTTGCCTTGCTGTTTTTTTTAATGTATCTAGGGGACTGCATATCCAAAGGTGTGTATTGAATAACACGTCTGCCCCTGGACACGATCATCTAAATAAAGGGATACATGCGACGCACCCAATATGCATCTAACGAGCTGGGATGGTCTGCCTACTGAGCTTGCGCCGGAGAGATGTTCTAGCATTTTATGAATCAGCACAAGGCAAAGACAGATAAGCCTTTGTGGAGCAAGGAGGCTCGCCTCGTCTTTATGACGAGACCAAAATGGGAATTCGACGGGTGGGTGGTGGTTCAATCCCACCCAAAGGCATTGGGCAGCCGTTCATCCTCGTTTTTTTAAACCATATATTATATATCCCGAAGGGCAATGCGGAGCATCTCTGCCAATCCTGTTGGAATATGTGTTTGGACTATGACATTCTCGCTTACTTAGTTGTAGTTACTATAGTTACTGGTCACCTGACCGATCAGTCATGCTGACTGATATGCTTATTGAGCATTCCCCATTTGATTATCATGCTTACTGATCTACTTACTCATGCTTATTCATGCTTAGTGATCACCTTACTCATGATTACTCATCTACCTATCTACTGTATATATAAGTAGCCTAGCTTAGACTGGTGTTAAATCCCGAAGTCGAGAGTCGGAGGAATGATCCGATGACGGAAGGTTCCGGTGCCAGAGTAATGGTGGAGCGGAAGTTCGGATCAATCACAAACACCACAGGAAGGTAAGGGTGTGCGTACTACCTGGACTGGCGAGAGTATAAGTCGTTCCGGCGAAAGTCGGAACTCCGGAGGACGGAAGAATAAGGCAGGGTTCAGGACAAGACGAATAGTCAAGAACGTTAATAATCAAACTGAGGTTACATAGAGGCATACAGAATATTTATACTAAGTCATAATTACGTACGGCCGTAAAGTCCATTTCTATATATAGTGATCTGAAACGGAAGAAGCCGCAAGTGAGGTTTGCGGAGCGGTGAAGTCCGCTCAAGTTGAGTGCGATAAAATAAGGAAGTTAAAATGGGAAACGTTCAGTAATCCTTCATTGCGTGAAAACCCATTTCGGGCGGCGTCCATAGATCCGGATGCCGGAACTTCCCGAAAGTATGGAACATCCCGGAATAACGGAGCTCGTCGGGAGTTCAGAACGTATGGATATAACATACACACTCCAAGCACCACCACTGGCAGTCTTTGTGGTTATTCATGACAGTCTTGACCAACCAGCTACCTTGGTGGCATGCTGCCTGCTCAAGTCCTCCACAGCTGCCATGTGGAGTTCAAAAAGGTGCAGCATGTCAAGTCGTTCAGCAGCAAGAAGTTCCGCTGCAAAATATCAGTGATGTCAGCCCCCATCAATCACAAAATTGATAATATTGTGCCTTGCAGCTCCCGTCATTTGGCGCATTGAAGAACCAAGAAGATTAAGAAATCCCCAAAGCATCTCGGCCGTCTCCCCGTGGAAATGTATGCTGCACACAAAATATATGGCTTGCCAGATGGTCTGGTAATCCAGTCTGTGGCTGTTGATGTGGTCCGCCAGAATCTGGCCTTCCACAGTAGCCAGTAGGTTGTGGAGCTAGCTCTCCTCTGGAAATAGCGTGATTGTGTGGTTAGTCAGGTTGACCACGAATGAACACCATCTATCGTAGCTGTAAATGGTTGGTGTTCTTGTTGCTGGGCCATGAGGGGGTGAGTTGGTGAGCCTAAGGTGCTCACGTTGCACATACATGCCAAGTGTGAAACTGTTTGCCCCCAAATCAGTATGTGACTTCATTGGCCGTCAGGGGGAAGTAAAGGCTTATGCTTTGCCCTTCAGCATGTCAATGAATGACCCCGCAACAGTGTGATCACATGCAGATGCGACAATGCCACTGACAGCTGTATTACCTTACTTGACTTGTTCTTAGTGATGGATAGATCCTATATGAGCCCTGCATGGTACTTCCTGGGCTTGACATCAGCATTGAGCAGTTTAGTCAGATGATAATTTTCACATTGTCTTCCTCTGAGACTACATAAGCCTTCACTATTCTTTCAAACTCTGTTTGTTTGGCAAAATACATTCTGCCATCTGTTATTGCCACATCGCTCCTGTTATTGCATTTAAAGAACAAGTTCACCTTGAAGTTTCCATCCAGCATGAAATGCTGGAAAACAAGGTGCCTGGTATCTAGTTAACATCATCTCATCCGCACTAAGTCTTGGGACGTCACTCACTGAAGATATTGCAGTACATTAACCACCACCAGCATATTGACACCTCTTTCCAGACAAGCCACACATTGTGCACCCAGATATCCTGTTGGCCGATTGGGATATAGGTGGTGCACTTTGTCCAGGAGAGGCTCATCGATCCAATGGGCATAGCCATGTCACATGACAATGTCCAAATGTTGGTGTTATTGGGTAATAGGCAAGGAAGTTGGTGTATATGTCCTATGGCTGCTTCAGCACACTATCTCATTGCCCAAATATATGTGTTAACTTACCAGAACTGACTCTGCAAAGAATGGATTTGACATCCGTTGCAAAATGTGCACAAAATTATATGCAGAAACCTTCCCCTGGTTCCGCAGCTGCTGGTAGTACTCCAGCAGGTTCAGTGTATGGCCTGTCTTTGGCTCTTTTACGCTCTCAGGGAAGATACTGGCGTGCAGGAGTTTTTTGAATTCCAGGGTGCCGTGGGGCCCTTCAAGACCCTTGCACCAGCAAAATGAAATCACGGTGGCATGAATCCTGTTGGACTCCACCAAGGTGAAGCTGTGTCCCAAGTCTGTGTTAGGACACCACTGACCATAGTGGCCGAGTGCAACAACAGTGTTCTTCATGACTTGACAGAAGTCGGATTTTTTGAAAAATCTCTCCTTCGCATTCCAAATCAGAGCTCAATGTGTGGGCATCATCCTGTGCTTGTTGACCCAGCACTGGGGACATAGCAGCTCTGCCTGCAGGCAGTTGTTACATTAAACCTTCCGGATATATTTGCCACAACCACAGGGGTGAGAAGGAGGGAGTTGTGGTGAGTGGAGAGCAAATTTTCGAGAAAGACCTTCTCCTCAGCCCTGAGTTCATTTATATGGGCCATATTCTTTAAACAATTTCAGTTTTGGACTTTGTTTTTGACATAAGACCAAATGCACCTGTCGTGTCTCACTTGTAGCATTCTCATTGCACCCCATCATTTTGTATGAGGGGATTGCACCTGGAGTGTCTTCAACAGCAGCCAGCACATTGAGGAATGGCAGTGATGCACTGTGTGGCTCTGCATTGAGGTCGAGCAGAAACTCCAAGTGTGTGAGTGGTGGCAGAGACCTGCTTGGATTTGCAATGTAGTGGTGCTTGGATTTTCCAGGATTTGCATCTGTAGGAGAGTCAGATGGCACGTCTGAACCCGGTGGCACAAACCTCACCTGTGTGGACAGTAATTTCATAGGATGGCATGCTGGTGGCGAGGAGAAATGTGCTTGCATTTTTCTCTTTGTTGTGGCCATTTCTGTGTTGAAACTGCTTCATGCTGGCAAGGGATTGGGAGAGGATGAATCTGCACAATGATGGTGATGTGAATTCTGGAGAAAGGTGGTCAAAGCACACTTTTGCCTGATTGATTTGACAGAAAGATATAATTGAAACTGCACGTGCCAAGACCTGTCCGTCCAGTCGTAGCGCACCAAAAACAAAACAAAAGAACAAAAGAATCACAAGTCGTAGCATCAGGTATACAAAGTGTCCATTTGAGTACCATACAGAGACCGTTTGAGAATGAAAGAAAGGTGAGGAGCTCCAGATACTTGTCCTGGGGAGGAAAGACACAGTGGCCGATATGAAAGTCTGGCCAAGGCGGACAAGGAAGTTGCATCTCACAAAAACGTGCAGGCTGACATGAAGTCAAGCCTGAACCCCACCCCACATCTTGTAGAAGCCAGAGTAGTGGATCTTGACGTATGACTTGAGGGACATGACAGAAATGTAGAGTGTCATGATGCGGCACTTGAAAAGCAGGTGAGTGTTGTATGTGCAGTCAGACTTGGATGGCACGAGATGGTGCGACACCTTGTGTCAGCTACCACCTGTGAACGTAAACTAGGTATGAAAGTAAGTAAGCGATAAGAGCCAGAAATAGAAAGGAAGAACAAACCTCAGTTGAGCACAATATGGTGAACAACTGAGGTGTGTCTCGTAATTATGGCAGATAAATAGGTAATAGTAGATGACAGGTGCTAAGAATGTATGAAGTACATTATTAGCACCCAGCAGTTATAGAGGCAGGTGCAAAGAGTAAGTTGCACCCAGGCTGCTGATTATATGACCAGTTGGGCCCCTATCTCAATAGTGATGCCAAGACAAGTGGATATGCAACTATGAAAGCTAGAGAACAAGCACTGGCTTATGCGGGCACTCTCAGCAAGAGATCTACAAAGATGGGCTGATTTAAATGAGCTTCTGAAATCTTTGACCTGACTAAGGGAATCCCTGACACCCACAATCTCTTGGTTGTACCCAGTGCACCCTATCTACTTGTTACTCTCAATCTATCCAGTTGTTTCCTCGAGGTCTGATTCTCCCATTTCAAGCAGGTAAATTAAATTAAATTCTTCCTTAGTTTGAACCATTGCTTCACTTGTCACCTCAAATTCACACTGGGGAAACAATGGATAGGAGGTGCCTTGTATGTTTTTTCAAGAAAAACCCCAATCTAAGTACTCAGAATACCTCACAGCATCACAGATACTCACATACTAGTGTGGTTGTCCCATGATAATTTGTTTAGTGTATGCTAAGCTTAACATTGTCCATGAAAGTCCATGAAACTTTCAAGCTACACACTACAGTCCAAGACTGTACCAGTCTTACAACAATGCGTGTCCCTGGTAAGTTGAAGTTCTATCTAGGATTTCAGTGTTTATCTTTGATGCTTCTATTCAATTTACAACCTGAAGAGCTTGGGAAGCTCCACAGTTATGACCTTATTTTTCATCAAATATTCGAGCTTCCGGTGGGAAGTTGTAGTCGGAAGTTGGCTTATATAATGAACACGTGCTTTGTATCGGAACTTTATCCCTGAACTTTCCAACCTTGCCTCCGTCCGAAGTTTCGGCGGGTCAACAGCTCTCAATTGGCTGAGAGAGGCCTGTGGTTGACCCTTGGTTGACCAGTGGTCAGGCCAAGCCACCCAGTGGTCGGCCAGTGGTTGACCATTGGTTTCCATTATTAGGCATTTACTTTTCCCATGGTTCGCTTAAACCCACCACTGGTTCGCTTAGGCCCACCATTTGTTGGCAACATTGGAGAGACAGTGAAC